GCCGCGCGCCCTCGGCGGAGGCGGAGGCGGGGCCAGCCGGGCCGGGACGGCCTCCCGCTTCCGCTGGCCCGGCCGCTCATTCATATTCATGAGGAGGGTCAGGGGCGGGCCCCGGGCCCCCCGCCGTGCCCGGCCCCCGGGCCGCCAGTCCAGCCCCGGCGGAGGCTCCGGCCCCAGTGGGGCGCCCCCGGCTTCCGCCTCGGGGAGGGAGTTTCCACTTGGTCACGACTCAAAAATGTGTCGCTCCCGCTCCTCCGCCCCCTCCTCCCTGCCCCGGGCGAGGGGGCGGGGGAGCGAGCGGAGGGTCTCTCCCCGGGAAGCCGGGAAGACGGGAGGGGCGGCTCCTCCTTCCCGGGGCAGGTCCGTGGGGATTCGGGGCTGACCGCTCCCTCTCTGGCTCCCTCCAAGATAGCGCCTGCAATAATCCTCATTTTTAAAACATAATAGTTCTGCTTTATTGAGCGCGGATTCTGTACCAGGCACCATACCCTTCGTATGAACTTTTCTCTTAACCCTCCCGCAGTTGGGCTGTTGTGCTTACTAACAGTCCAACGAGGTCAGTACAATGTTGTCATCCAGAGGCTCAGAAAGGTCGAGGGACATACCCGCCATTTACACCCAGGCCTTGGGCCATTCCGAGGTGCTAGCCCGCCGCCACCTTCCCCGAATGGGCTTACCTGGGCACCGCTGGAGGGGTGGGTGTGGCCGAGCGGTGGGCGTGAACGCCCCGTTGGAGGGAAACCAAAGCGTGAAGGCTGGACAGGCTGGACCTTTGGCCGGACCCAATGCAAAAGGAAAATAGCAGGGCCGTGTGTTAATAAATGATTAAGAGCCCTGGCCGATGGCTCAGTGGTTAGAGCACCTGCTTGGGCACGGCAGGGTGGCAGGTTTGATTCCAAGTCAAGGGCACATACCAATCGCATCGATGTTTCCCTCTCTCCCTCCCCGCTCCAACTTTTTCTAAGTCAAGGGCGGGGGGGTTGGGAAATATCTTCCGGGTGAGGATTAACAACAACAAAAATTAAGAATTTCAAGATGGTGATGGGAGAACATTAAGCCCCAAAGCATGAGCCCTTCTAAGTGCCACGCTGTGGGACTGCACGGGTGAATATCAGGAAGCTGACCCTGATTTAAGCATTCAGGGTCTCTTCTAGGAGCAGAGAAGTCACAACCTCACCTCCAGGGTCACCCTCCCCACCTCTCAGCCCTGGAGCGTCACCTCCATGCTGACATCCAGGCCTGGCCTCCAGAACTCCAAAAGCAGAGTACTTGCAGCCCTCTAGGACCCGTTCCCTGAGGGTCAGGTGAGTCCCACGGGGAGAGTGTCCCAACCCTGAAAGACCCAGCTGATCCTCGGGGCTGCGCCTCCTGGGCATTCTCAGCCCCAGGCCCTTTAGGCAGTTGGGCAGGATTTTAAGGGCCAGGCCAGGCCCAGAAGGGCCCTCAGTTCTGACTTGAAGCCCTCCTTTCTCACTGGCACAGGGTGTGAGGAGCAGCCAGGGCTGCTTCCCAGAATAAACACCCCACCCATAGTCTGTCCCAGCCCTGCAGGCACAGCAAGCCAGCAGGCATGGCAAGACAGTGCCAACTGGAGAGATGTTCATCAGGCTGCCAGCTCAAGGTTAATAAGTCATCCTGATGGCACTCCTTCCATCATTCCATCCTTGGTGCCTGGTCCCACTCACAGAAGGTTGCAGGCTTCCTCAATAACAATAGCTACCATTTGTTGCACTGCTGCTCCTCTCCACCAGGCACTGGTGGAAGTCCCCTGTGTACCCTCTCCCCTGAGCCTCACACAGCCCTGTCACAGGCATGAGAATCACCATTTTACAGATAGGAAGCTAAGGTTCAGAGAGATCCGATGGCTGGGCTAAGTTCAAGGGCCAGAGGTCATGGTCTGCTGCCATTCATCTATCTTAGTTCCTGTCATTTCTCCTATGTCTGCAATGTAGGGTTTTTGTTTTGTTTTGTTTAAATCAGTGGTTCTCAACCTTTCTAATGCCGCGACCCTTTAATACAGTTCCTCATGTTGTGGTGACCCCCAACCATAAAATTATTTTCGTTGCTACTTCATAACTGTAATTTTGCTACTGTTATGAATCGTGATGTAAATATCTGATATGCAGGATGTATTTAGGCGACCCCTGTGAAAGGGTTGTTCGACCCCCAAAGGGGTCGCGACCCAGAGGTTGAGAACCGCTGGTTTAAATTGATTTCAGAGAGAAAGGGAGAGGGAGAAAGAGATAGAAACATCAATGATGAGAGAGAATCATTGTTCGGCTGTCTCCTGCATACTCCTTACTGGGGATCGAGCCTGCAACCCTGGCATGTGCCCTTAACCTGAATCGAACCCGGGACCCATCAATCTGCAGGCCAACACTCTATCCACTGAGCCAAATGGGCTAGGGCCTGCAATGTAGTTTTTAAGGCTCACTTCTTTATGCTCACTCTCAGCTCCTTGGATAAAGGTTCTGGAAAAAGAGAAACTGCGTATACTGAGTTCCCTGCTGGAACTAGCATTGTGCACTAAAGAACAATGTATGTGAATAAATTAGCCACTTCCCCTCTGGGTGCTGACAGACAGGGGGTACCCACTAGATTGAGATAGCTCCTTGAAGACATGGATGGGGTTGTCTAACCCTGGGCACACAGTAGACCCTCAATAAATGTTGAATGAACACATAATAATAGCTTAATAAGCATCTGTTGAATGAATGGGAACCTAGCAGATGTTCAATAAATGTTTATTGATGAAAGATTAGGGGACAAGATTCAGTCCCCAAAATATATCTATCTGTAATTTTCTTAGTCAACTCAGGCTGCTATAACAGAATACCATAGACTGGGGAACTTAACCAACACACATTTACTTCTCACAGTCCTGGGGGCTAGGAAATCCAAGGTAAAAGTGCTGGCAGATTCACTTCCTGGTGAGGGCTCCCTACTTTGCTTGCAGATGGCCACCTTGTTATGTCCTTACATGGGGGAGGGGGGGGGGAGAAAGAGAGAGGGGGAGAGAGAGAGAGGAAAGAGCAAGAGAGACAGAGAAAGAGAGATCTTATCTCTCTCTTTTTAAATATTTTTTATTGATTTCAGAGAGAAAGGGAGAGGGAGAGAGAGACAGAAACATCAATGATGAGAGAGAATCATCCCTACACTGGGGATTGAGCCCGCAACCTGAGCACGTGCCCTTGACCAGAATCGAACCTGGGATCCTTCAGTCCACAGACTGATGCTCTATCCACTGAGCAAACTGGCTAGGGCTTATCTCTCTTTTTATCAGGGTGTTGATCCCATCATGGGGACCCCACCTTTATGACCTCATTTAAACCTAATTACTTTCTAAAGGCTCCATGTGCAAATACAGTTACATTGGGGTTTAGGGCTTCAACCTATGAATTTAGGGAGGGCACAAACATCAGTTCATAACAGCAATATTTTTTGAAGAAAACATATTTTATTGATTTTTTACAGAGAGAAAGTGAGAGGGATAGTTAGAAACATGGATGGAGAGAAACATCGATCAGCTGCCTCCTGCACGCCCCCTACTGGGGATGTGCCCAAAACCAAGGTACATGCCCTTGACTGGAATCGAACCTGGGACCCTCCAGTCCCCAGGCTGATGCTCTATCCACTGAGCCAAACCAGTCAGGGCCACAAGAGCAATATTTATGAAGCATTACTATATTCCAGATCCTGGGAGGAACTCTGCAGAGGGAGTGACAAAGCAAATAATGGCCTTGTATCCTACTCCTTGGGGAATTTAGGATATAACAGGGGAGATAGTCCATTACACATGGGAGGGAACAGGTAACAAAGAATGAGTGCTCAGAGTAAAGACTGGAGAGAGAAAACTCAGCATGATGTGGGGAAAGAGGACACCTCTCCTTACCTACTTTTTACTAAGAAGGAGGAAGCCAGGCCTGGACAGACTGCTACAGTAGGTGTTGCCTCCTGGAAAAGGCAACCCCCCTGAAGCCCGCTCAGAGCCTGGCCCTCTTGGATGTCACAAAACCCCATCCTGCCATCTGATGCCCCAGGGACACAGTAAATTATAACACAAGCTTTGGAATCAGACTGACTGAGGTTGCAATGCCTCCTACCAGCTTCTAAGGACTTGACGAAGTTACTTAACCTCCCTGTGCCCGCAGTTTCCCCCTCTGTAAAACAGCAATAATCATAGAACCCGCCCTCAGGGTTGTTGTGGATACAGTGAAAATCAGGCGGCATTTGGTGCAAAGAACTGGGTACTGACTGACAACTCCACCAAAATTATAGCGTCCTTCACTCTTGTTGGATTTGCAGGAGCCAATTTAAGGGCTTATTTGCAGCCAAGGGGACACTAGCTGGGTCCTGGAATTGACAGGCCTTGGATCAGGATTGACACTTGGTAGCGATCGCTAATACCATATGTATTGAGAATATACTTCACTTCGTCTTCGAAACAGCCTCAGAAAGAAGATGCTATTACTCACCATCCCAAGGTGGGAACGCCAAATCACATTTCTCACTGCAAGCAACCTGCTTGTCCATGAAAACAAGTGTATGTAGAAAAGTATAAGAAAGGCCCTAAAGTTTTAGAATGCAGTTTTTCATTTGCCGTGGACATGACCACAAAACATTTCCCCAACAGGTTTTTTTTCTGCTATGTTGGTAGCATAGCATTCAGCCTACTGGGAACATTTTACTAACCTAGATTTACATTGCTAGATCACAGTCCACTATAGATATGACACAAGCTACAGGAGATTTCTGTAATAGTCCTTGGGAATCAGATTTGATGACAGCCATTTTAGATGTCTGGGGCTTGATGTCCTTTGTCTAGCCAAGTCCTTCTCAGTTACCATACAGTTTGTGATCATGACAATCTCTATTCCTATTATAGAGGACTGACTTGAGATGACATCAGGATTGAGCAAAAAAGGGAATAAGATGATTAAGACTCAAACTCAGGAGGAACTAAGGCAGTGGAAGAACTCAGAACATGTGAAATTCCTTAAATAAAAGTTTATTAACTTGAAAAAAAAAAAAAAAAGAAAGGCCCTAAAGCAGTGGTTCTCAACCTTCCTAATGCCACGACCCTTTAAAACAGTTCCTCATGTTGTGGTGACCCCCAACCATAAAATTATTTTCGTTGCTACTTCATAACTGTAATTTTGCTACTGTTATGAATCATGATGTAAATATCTGATATGCAGGATGTATTTTCATTGTTACAAATTGAACATAATTAAAGCATAGAGATTAATCACAAAACAATATGTAATTATATATGTGTTTTCCAATGGTCTTAGGTGACCCCTGTGAAAGGGTCATTCAACCCCCAAAAGGGGTCGCGACCCACAGGTTGAGAACCGCTGCCCTAAAGGGTGAAGGTTCCTTATGGTCAAGTCCCCTTTATGGTTCGCAGATCATTGGATTTCCCTGGTCACTGGATTCAGTTCCTGTTGGACTATAAGCTCCAGGAGAGCAAGGGCAACTGAGGTTGTCACTCTTTATTGCACTACTGCACAGTGCCTGGCATCCTGCAAACACTCAGTAAGCATTTTCCACTGATATAAAATTAGCCCCTTGTGTACCTTTTTCATACACGTGGATTCCCCGGGGGCCTGGAACCTAGCCTGGTAGAGATCAAACTTTATGACACCAACGGATGCAGGGCCGAGTTGCGGGCTGAATCCCCACGATCCCGGACGCCGGGAGGGGGCGCTCTGCGTCCCTCAGCCTCCGCCCTCCCCCTGCCCCCCTCCCCAACGCACCCGCTGGACCCGGTGAGTCGGCCCTTAACAGCCCTCTCCTGGAAGGCTCTAGGTAGCGAAGCTGGACTTCCCACCGGGCCCATCTGCTCGCTAATGTTTAACCCGACTTCACTCCACATTATCCGCACGAGGGAAACCCGGGTGGGGGTGGGGTCACTTCCAAATCACTACCGTCCGGGCCTACTGGTCTTTCACCTATACTAAACAGTTCTTGAGCACCTACTCTGTGTCTATTCACGCAGCAGTCATGAGAGCTATTATGTGTCCATTCATGCAACAGGCCAGGAGCACCTACTATGTGTTTATTCTCTTAAAATGGAATGAACACACATATTCTGTGTCCATTGACGAAACAGTCATGAGCACCTACTATATATCCATTTGCCCAAAATATAATGAGTATCTACTGTGTATCCACGTAACAGTTCATGAGCACCTACTATGTGCCCAGCACTGTGCCAGGCCCTGGGGATGCTGTGTGCTTCGGCCAGACGCTCCGCAAATACGAAGATGAAGGTAGAATTAGGCCCCGAGGCAGATGCCTCACCTATAGAAGATGCTTTTTGTCTGCTAGACTCCTCAAGGCCAACTGCATAGTGGCAGGGTTGGCCAACAGCAGCAGGGCTCTTTTTAAACCAAGGTTTGCAGAGCAGCAAGAAGATAAGTGGGTGGGGGCTCCAGATTGGCTCAAACAAAACACACCCAAGAACACCAGTCTGGTTTCAACATCAGGAGGTAGAAACAATTTATCGGGTGCAGGTTCGGGGCTTTCTCACTCGTTTCTATCCGCTCATTCCACTTTCCAACCCGCACTGCGCTGGGCGCTGCGGGGCCACGCTCAATCAAGGACCCCCTTGGCGCTCCAGCTGGAGGACACAGGTTGCCCGCAGCTGCTGTGACCAAGACTGGGGCCAAGAGGACGCCCGGACTGCTCCGGGTCAGACCTGGTCCTCCTTCCATTGTGAGGGGACTGAGGCCGAGGGAAAGGCGGGGGTGGGGGAACCAGGGTGGCGCTGGACGGGCGGGAGGCGCCGAGTCCAGCCTCGCACCCCGGCGTGCGCTGCCCCGCATGCGGAGCTGGGGCCTCTGCCTGCCGGGTGCTGCCCGCGCGTTCCTGGAACTGGGCTGGGCGGAGAAATCTGGGCCGGCGGAGAGGCATTCTCGCTGCCCTCCCCGTCGCCGGGGGCTGCGGGGGGCCTGGCCAAGGTGACCCCGCGGGAGGGAGGTGATGGGCCCCGCCCCCTCCTTCATCTTCCCGGTTTTCGGGGCTTTTCCTCTGGACCCGCACGCCCCCCCCCCCCCCGCACAAAAAAGTGTCCTTTGTTTTGACCCAGTAGATTAACCCTAAAAATCATCGCTAAGTCCGCCGCCTCTGATACACCTCACTTTTTCGAGATAGAGAACGTAGTGGGTGCGGAGGGGGAAATTTAGCGATACTCTTCTGTCTATGTATACTCTCTCTTACATATAGTCTTATGAGGATCAATACTGATCCTGAGTGGGGGAGAGTCAAACTATGAGACTCATCTCAGTTATTTAGCTCTCCCCTAGATTAACGTCGCGCGGTGTCCGTGCGTCGCCCCTACGAAATAGAAGGGAGAGTTTCTTTAAAA